TGGTGAGGATTCCTTGTTCTTTTCTTTCCTCCTCAGGGTGGGTTTTGAACTATCAAATGGACACATTTTTATGGGGCGTTAAAATTGTTTTTCTTATTCCAAATTGATCACAGTAGATTTAAAGTATTGGTGATAACGTTGATGCTTATGCATTTCAGGTATACAGCAGCACAACTATCATTTCATTTTTTCCATTGACAGGCTGAGCTCCATCGATGCAAAGTACCACATCTGGAAACTGGGTGTGGTTTTGACCGACAATGTAAGTTTATTAGTGTGCACTAAAATCACTTCGTATTCACACCAGTGGGGGAAATTAAAGGCAAAGTACTTGGGAAAGCTAGATAAAAATTTGAGTTGTGATCAGGGTTTTATTTAATATGCTTGTTCTGTAATCTGATAATTATCAAAACAGATTACAGATTATAATCTACCTTTAATTGCATCAGTCCTACTGTGAATGCAGTGCAACACTAACCTTTACCTCAGCTGGTTATTGAACAAAAACTCCAAATATGAATATATATTGGTTCAATGTGTAACTGAACTGTGCACATGTAATGATCGTATGACAATAAAACTCTCAAATGTGTGAAATAATGCAGAGGTTAACATTTTCATTAAACCCATCTGTTCTGTCTCTCCTTGCAGTTATTCCTGTATCTGATCTGGTACGCCACCATGTCCATTTTTGGACACTTCAACAACTTCTTCTTTGCTGCCCATCTCCTGGACATCGCCATGGGCTTTAAGACCCTTCGTACTATCCTGTCCTCTGTTACTCACAACGGCAAGCAGGCAAGTAGTTCAGCCAGCAGAGGGAGACAGAGTCCCGGTGAAATCAACAAGTCACTACAACAAAACTCCATATGGCAGAGCAGCTTCCTAATCTTATACTTAAAAACTAGAAAACCTTACATTTAATAAAATGTTTATGGGGTTTTGAGTTGCTGCTAGTGTAAAAAATGTGGAGAAATATTGAGATTGCTTTAGTGTGATGTTAAGCTTTTATATTTACTTTGTCTTCTGTCAATATCTACAAGTGGAAACACTAACTAGCCAATGAGCAGGTTTTCATAAATGACTATTTATTTAATATACATCTTCATTAATTTGAAAAACTGTAATGACTAATTGGTTGGACAGGGTTCTGTGGGTACATCAAACACAAAAGACTGCTTTAGACCTTCATCTTATCTTTGTGACAGTAAATGCAACCAGCAGTATGGATATTAAAATGGTAACGAGGTACATTGCAGGCCATCGATGTGCATGAAGAAGGTCTGTAATGGTGTGAACTTCATTCCCTAGATTGCTGAAGGTCTTAAAAGTCAAAAAATCTTTCAAGTCTTCATTGAAGCTGTAGAGCTTCTGAAAATATTACTTCTTGCTCCAGTTCTGACAAAAGTAGCAAAAGCCTCAGCATCAGGACGTAAACAAGATAAAGAGGCCGCTGTAACACAAATTGTTAGCTGAAACTTCTAGAAATCAGTAAGGTCCAAGAAAAGGTTTCACTGCTAATGACCATATTGTAATGACTTTCCTCTCCTCCTAGCTTGTGCTGACTGTGGGTCTCCTGGCTGTGGTCGTCTATCTCTACACCGTGGTGGCCTTCAACTTCTTCAGGAAGTTCTACAATAAGAGTGAGGACGAAGACGAGCCCGACATGAAGTGTGATGATATGATGACGGTACGTCTGACCACCTCTGGCAACTGCTAGTTTATAAAAATGAGTGAAAATCTGCAACAACTTTCCTTTTGTAGTGGTAAAAAAAAAAAAAAAAAAAA